GAACAAGACGCTCTGTTGAGCGTTTAGTCGCTGGGGTATTAAAATAAGGCACGTCTTGATTAGAATAACTTACCATATATCATCAACCTCGTACCCAGGGCTTCTGCGCTCGTTGCTCTCTCTTCATTCTCGTACCCAGAACCGTTCTTACGCGCGGTCAACAGAGTGCGACGAGGGGCTCTGGCCAAATCCAAACCGGAAACAAAAAAAAACATGGTATTAGAACAATATCCGGTATTAGAACAATATCCGGTATTAGAACAATAACCTTCGTTGTGGCCAATCAGATGCCAGTTTGATGTGGATTTGGCCAGAGCCCCTCGTCGCGCTCCGTAAGAAAGGCTCTGGGGACGAGAATGCTCTCTTCTGAGCGCAATCTCGAAACCAGAGCCTGCAAGCCTCCACAGAAGATATGAGAGCAATAAGTACAGAAACCCTGGGTACGGTGATTTCATTGGATTTATCTGGCTTAAGCCAACTTCGAGTACATTGGAAACCAGGATTCGGCAATTTTATTCAAATTTATTGCAACTCAACATTTTGACCCTTCAATTTTCTCAAAAATTGTAATACCCCCCCCCTATTATTATTATTATTATTATTATTATTTATTATTATAACGAATATTTACACAGGCTGGATATATACATTTCAGCACAAAAGTGCTGTTATCAATGTGAGTCTTGTTACACCTTAAGAATTAATTAAAAACTATTAAACTACTACCTATAGTTAGGAAGTTAGCCTACTACATATTATAACTACTACTTTATCATTTATTTATACTCATGGCCCCACCTTTTCCCCCTCCTCCCTCTTCCATAAATAAAGACTTGTCCCAAACTCCAGGAAAAATCTGTGCACTTCACAAAACATTTATAACAATTTATTGCGTTCGCCTCAGGCTGGGTAACCACAACAGAAATTGCCAAAATGTCCTTTCAAGGTAGCTTGCATGTCAGGGAAGAAAATGGCTGCCCCCAAGCCATTTGCAAACAAATTCAATATCTTTTCCAGAGAAATATGCCAAATCCCCCATGGTGGAAAACGTCAAAATCCTCACCTCCTAAAAATATCGGCAATAGCTCCGCCCCTTGAATTAGGAAAAGCTGCAAAGGCCCGGGGGTGAGGGGATGGGAACTGCTGGAATTAACTGATACATTAGATTATCAAACCTAATTTTAAAATATGACAATAACAGACAACTCTTCCGCCAATATCTTAAAAAGAAATATTCCAATAATTTTTCATTAATTAAACAGCCAGGAATTACATACCAAATAATAACAATGGTTAAAGACTGTGTTAATCAACAGCAAAGGCAGCAATTAACATGGTCAAAAGTAGTTAAAGTACAATTACAAGTATGAAATATCATTACGTAAACAACAATTTGATATTACCTTAAAAACAAAAGCTACTAATTCTGACCAATGGGAATTTTGTGTGTACTACGAATCATATGCATTTATTGTCTCCGTAGCAGGCTTTATTTTACCCTGTGAGCAAAGTCGTCTCATATTTCTTCTCGGCATGGCACGGAGAAGCGAGAGAGATTCTGCAAAACTTGTGTATATTCTTTGTGGAGCCAACAATCCAAAACTTGGATAATTATGTATAATTTCAGGTTTGATACTGGTTTAATAACTGGTTTTGATGCCGGAAACAATGAAACCAGAAACTACTTATTAAATCTTCTTCTGGGAAATAGGCAGTTGCTTAGCAACCTTCGCACATGCTCAAATGAATTTCTACCCAAGTTCTGCAGAGTCTCTCTCGCTTCTCCGTGCCGAGAAGAAATAGGAGAGGACTTTGCTCGCAGGGCAGCTTTATTTCAAGGATAGAGCCTGACACGCTGGATACTTTCAAAGTTAACCCCCCCCCCCTACTTTATTACTTTACTCTGCGTAACACTAGACAATTTTACTTGAGGACGCCATATTCAATATATTATTCTCACCAGGAAATTCCATTGTGTTTGCACCCCTTGCACTATTGTGTTTCATTATGGCATCTTCAACTTGAAAGAGTCTATTACTCTGGCCCCAACATTTACCCGTTAAAAACACAATATATTGATGAAATAACTGAAATGTTACAGGTTTACACGCCTGACACCTGGTCCTTGTATTTCTGTCTTGTTAGGCTACATCATGTTCTTTTGAGCGCTTATCCGTATCAGGATTGCTTGCATCAAGGGCCGTAGCGTAGAAAAAAGCATCCAAATAAACGGCAGTTTGCGAATATTATATAAATATTGTGAACTTTTGTCGTCTATTTCAAGCTTGTAGCGATCCAAGTTACTCACATAAAATGACTTTCGCTTTATAAAGTCTGGTTCATCGGAAAACTTTAAAGTTTCATCGGAAAAATAAAAAAAATATGTACAAAATCGATGAAATTGTCGATACTAAATAACTAAACTCGCTCCGAAGAAAGCGGCCATATTGAATCCAGCGACGAATAGTAATGACGTAATTTTTATTATTTATTAATGACGTAACGTTCATTTTGTGGCTAACGATCCAAGATCCGACACAAATCGAAGCCGAAACCTAGAGTCGCTGCGGGCTGTGCCCCAGCGACTAATAAATATATTTTGTTCGCCTTTTTTCCCTACATGAGATAGACACATGGAAGTTTCAAATGTTACAGATACAATATATATACTTACATCGAAAACAAAACGAACGAGCGAGTTCTTCTGAAATATACAGCAGCTTCGATGAGATTACAGAGTCAGCATACATTTCAGGTGCGTCGCAAGCCAAGAACAATGGTGTAATCTTTTCAATTTGCCCGCGGCGCAAACACTTTACGTATCTATGGTCAGAATTACCATATTTGGTGAGTTGTTGATTAGCTGCCAAATACAAAGGCCTACTGTCTGGCTTAAAATCAGTTGGATAAAACGTTTTCAGGACAAAATTTCCAGTAAGAACTAACCAAGGCGACGTTCCTCGCGATTCCTGCAGCTGAATAGGCATACGAAGTCATATGGCCTGATGCGGTTTATACCTATAGTTTAACTGCCAGGTTCAATAATAGAAGACATATGTTTAATTTTTTTAGAACGTTGCGAAAATATCAAATCTTAACGTCAAGACGACGTTGTTTACGACGTTGTTTTGATCAATGTCATATCCAAACGTTACACATTAACGTTGCTACAACGTTAAAATCTAACATTGCCATGAAGGTATCGTATGACATCCTGGAACGTTGCGAAAATATCAAATCTTAACGTCAGGACGACGTTGTCTACGACGTTGTTTTGATGTCACGTCCAAACGTTACACATTAACGTTGCTACAACGTTGAAATCTAACATTGCTAAGAAGGTGTCGCATGACATCCTGGAACGTTAAATTTCAAAGTCAAACCAACGTTTACACCACGTGCACTTATTCCGGATAGAAAAGTAATGTTGTGTGAACGTCGTGTGAAAGTTAAGTTAGATCTAACTTTGCAACAACCTTTTACCAACGTTGTAATAACGTTATGTGTAAACCTAATAAAACACCCCTGCTCGTTTTTTAAATAGTACATAAAGAATTTGGCAAAGCTTTTGATCAGTAGACCTGGATCATCTTCACTATCTTCAGTGCAAATATTTAAATTAAGTTGAAAATAAAATTTCACGATCATTGACTGTCTGGCACAAAATATAATATTATTTAATATATTTGACAAGAGGTTAAAGCTAATCTGAATGTACTGCTTACGTACTTTTCCTGAATTGTCTCTTTAATATTGTTCTTATTACATATTAAAATAAAATGTGGAGATCAACTCTTGAGATTTCAAATAATAGTCTTTATTATATAAAGTATAGTGCTTTATAGAGATTTTGAGCACTGATAAAAGTGATAATCTCACATGTGAGATTATTCACGATAATCTCACATGTGAAAATTGTCGCTTTTCTGTAAAAATTATCGCTTTTCAAAGACTGTCCTTTATATAATAAACAGAAAAATACATGGGTGCTTGGAAATACCGGATTTATTTCTCGTGTTGAAACTTGTTGAACATGACATCTCACTCGTTCGCTGCGCTCACTCGTGAGATATCATGTTCAACACTCGAAATAAATCTGGTATTTCCGCGCACCCATGTATTATTCTCTATATTATATATAAGTGATTATAGTTTAATGATAAAAGATCTGTTCATTATTGTGAACAACCATGATTATTGTTTCAATCTGTTCTAGTCTTAATTTGTTTTCCGTCGTACTTTCTCCCTTTTACAGTAAATTCTATCAAATTCAGGAATAGCATTTTACTTTTTCTGGATTGGTATCCACTCCAAATAACGCTCCATGCCTGAAACAATAGTCACTCTTCGCCTGTTAATTGCCGGCCTGAAAAATACGATCCTGTTTTCGTTTCGAATGCCATCACGAAGACGCAATTGAAATTCATTTCCCAATTCTTTGATAACAGGAATCGTAGGTTTGTCATGGGTAGATCCACTTTCACCAACTCTCTTCAAACGATAGGCGTAAAACATAGCTCGAAGGTAATTGAAGAAATCACATGAATTATCCAGATATTCTCTGAAACTTGTACCGCCGTCCATGGCAAATGAAGACCGCTTTGTATCTTCAAAAGCAATTTTTTCGAACTTTGGTAATTGCGACTTGTTGGAAGGCCACGGGATATCTCCTTCCGGCATAATATCTCGTGCCCACAATATGGTTTCCGTAATAATGGTTGTATGATGATTGTCTTGGTTTATGATCTGGGAACAAAGCTTCAATAGGTTTGGTAGAAATACATAGTCCATCAGGTTTGATGTTAGGATGCGGTCATATACTGTGTTGACTTCAAGATATTGTTTTATGTCCATGCAATCACACAGTACGATCCGGAAACTGACTTGTTGCTTGGACAAGATCTTCATCAATCTGCGTAAAATGCATTCAATATAATCACCGTACATTGTGACGAGGCAATTAGAGTCCTTGAATTTCTTCACCTGCAGATAGTCCCAGCTAGAGAAGGGAAAAAGTCCTGGTGGAATGCAATAAGAGTAATGGGCGTTTCTAGCAGCCACGTCAACACCAGTGAATGTCGGATTCTCAGCGAACCTTGGCGCTTGCGTTCGTTTAAAAACGCAGTCATCTATCCATTTCTTTACTGCGCTTACGTGTTCTACTGGTACATTCTCAATGTATCCAGAGTTTCTAGCGACAAACTCTATATTCGAATTGGTTACATCTTCTCGTTGCTTTTGAATCCACTTTGTTCCTTGCACCCGCAAACCGAGCCATGTTTTCCATGCGTCTTGAAGTTGTTTGAATTGCATTTCGTCCACACTTATCAAACCAGCTGTTTTTAACTGTAGGTTTTGCGCAGACATGAAGCTGGTAAGCTCTTCAAGTGACGTACGAAGACATTCATATGTTGCCTGACTGAGTAGTATTGAATACCAAATTTCTGTAACTGTTTTCTCTATTCCTAAATCACCTAAAGTGAAAGATATAATTAAGAATCTGATTTCGTTCCCGGAGGTCTAATTTTGACTAAATATAGTGGATGTAAACAATAATCCCTGAGACTAACGGCGCTTAGCGCCGTTCCGGGCGTAAGCCAGGGGCGAAGAAATAGTAATTATACGCTCGGCTATTTACACTCGGTGAAAGGAAAGCATTCCGAAGTCTAAGTTCATCAAAAACGGCATATGGGTTTGTTTCTTGGTGACATGGTGGACTTCCTCACTGATCTGAAAAGTAATGCGGATCTCAGGCGTGGAAAGAGTACAATTTGTGGAGGGAAAGTGAAAAACATGCATTCAGAAACCCGAAAAATCGTCGATGACAAGAGCAGCCACACAGATTATTCGTTTTTGCTTCATAACAAAAGATCAGGGGGCAATAGGTTGCTGGAAATCGTAAAACCTAGATAATAAGTTGATGTGTTAGTGCTTTGATTTAAAAACTGATATTGCATACATTGAAAAAAGACAGCGTATAATTTCAGTGTATTTTTTATTAACTAGAAATACATGCATGCACTAACCCCTCTCCTTTCTTAATTATTAACATATGAAGTATACAAATTCCACATGAAGTATTTGATGATTAAAAACAACGGTGCAGGTTGCCGTGGAGAGGTAAAAATAATATGGGAAAATAGCCTATTAAAAGGTTTTTTTTAAATTAAGAATAATTTATTTTCAAAATCTAGAATGTAGTTTTACCTTACTTGACTTTCAATAAACCAAAATTGAATTTCAAATAAAAACAGTAAAACGTTTCGAAACTTTGCTGTGAAGTTGCAATGCCAGGAGAAACTGGAAAACTCGTTTTTCTCACAGTAGGTTGCTCGAAAATGCGGTAAAATATATTTGTTTTACAAGCTTTTATAATTTACATGTAGTTACATTTTGATCTTTAGTTATATTTTGATATATGTTGCAAAGTTTTCCCAAAACTACCAAAGAACATTTTCAACTTCACCGTCCGTACTTTACATAAGTAGCTCTCTTCCTACGCGAAAACATCTTACAAGATGGGGTTTAGCTTCAAGTCCCGAATCGAATGTTCCTTTTGCTTGTGTCCTGAAACTCTACTACACGTGGTATAGCCGGCTGCATGTCAACCTTACCTTCAGCGCTTTACTTGGAGACATAATTCTATTTTAAACTTTCCCCTGAAACGTTTCAAACAATAAATTCGTGTCAACTCTATGCCGATCTATCAAGCCCTTCAATTATAACTGGTGACATATATCGACCGGACTTACTCTTAATTATTCCATTCTTAAGCGAAAGGTTACCACAATAAACAGTTGGGACCGATTATATATAGAACTCTTAACTACTTTTTAACCAATATGTTGTAGTTAAATGATAGTTATTAATAAATAAAACCCGCGATTTTGATTGGTGGTTAACGTTCAGTGGAACCCCGCCAGGGCCTTTTTTAAGGATTTTTCCGTGGGGGGGGGGGCATTTTTTGAAAAGGGACTTTTCTGTGAGATAATTTATTACAGGGAGATAGCAATGGCTGAAGGCCACGTGTGCGCCGAACATACCATGCACGCATGATTGGGGGGGGGGGTGTACTCCCCCAGAAAATTTTTGAAATTTGAAGCACAGAAATGCCATTTCCTGCATTCTGAGCATCCAAATGCGCCCCAAAATGTATACTAAGTATACTTGTATTTGAAATAAAAGAAGGAAAAACCCCACAAAAAGTTTAAAAAAATATTAACCATAATTTATCATTACTTATTAAAGGAGGATCCCAATGGTCACGTGTGTGGGGGTGTACTCGCCCAGAAAATTTTTGAAATTTGAAACACGGAAATGCAATTTCGTGCATTCTGATCATCCAAATTTGCTCTAAAATTTATGCTAACTATACTTGTATTCGAAATAAAAGAAGGAAAAAATGCACAAAAAGTAAAAAAGAATATTAACCGTAATTTATCATTATACTTATTAGAGGGGGATACCAATGGCCGAAGGCCACGTGTGTGGGGGCATAATCTCCAGAAAATTTTTCAAATTTGAAACCTGGAAATGCTCTTTCCTGCATTCTGAGCAACCAAAAAATAAAAAATTATTAACAATAATTTATCATTACTTAGTGGTAGAAAAACGTAACAATTTAGATCGATTTTGTTAAACAAGGACAAAAGATAAAGCCTAAAACTTACTTTCCGTTTATTTATTTGCTATTCTTCGCTGTTTTGTTGGTATAAATTTAGGAAAAAGGGACTTTTCCTGGGGGGGCAAAATGTGATTTCGTGGGGGGTTAAAAAAGGCCCTGATATATATATATATATATATATATATATATATATATATATATATATATATATATATATATATATATATATATATATATATATATATATATATATATATATATATATAAGCATACAGCATGCGTTTCGCTTGACGAATCTCGTACTCGTAGTCAAATCTAAAGCTCCCTATTATGTAAGATAGGGTACAGTCCGGTCTGCGCATGCGCACATAGGAGTCTCCTGGCGTGATATAAGTATAGGTAATAGCATGGTTTCGAGTGCAATTTGGATATAACATGCACGAGTGAGTTTTTCAAAGACCTCAAAA